CTTAAACAACAATAAATGTCCCTCCTACGGTGAGAGTGGCGCTGCCCAAGAGCCTCTTTGCATTGCCACTTCGCACGGCCACTCTGCAGTCCTACAGCAGGAGTGCACATCTCCGGGCCTGGAGGGCCAGTGTCCAGCACAGTTTTGAGGTTTCCCTACTCAAACATTCCCATTAAACCTGCCAATTAACAAATGAGTGTAATCAGGTGTGGTTGAGCAGGTAAATCACCAACCTGTGCTGGATACCAGCCCACCAGGACCGGAGTTATGCACCCCTGTCCTACAGTCACACGGGCATATATTTCTGCATATATAAATCTTTTCTACAATTATTTTCCATTTCCTTGGCTCCACTTATTATATAGGTGCACTTTGTGTACAGACTGTAGTCCGTCTGTTTCTCTGCATACTTTATTAGCCCCCTTTTGCCTTTTTCGTCAATGGCCAGGACCACCACAGAGCATTTAAAATATTTAAATCATACAGTCTTGAACACAATACATTGTTGTAGAAATTAAAGATTTTTTGGTAACACTTTCTATGAATGTCACATTTGTAAGCATCTATAAACACATTTATAACATGTTATAATGTAATCATAAGGCATTATAAAAAGAATTACACTGAATTACACTTTATAGCCATGTTTATTATACATTATGAATCATTAATATAATGCATTATACATAGTGTTAATAACATGTTATAATGTCAGTGGACATACTAAGGCTTATTATCCAATAACTACAGGGCCCTGAATATTCTGCTGTAACTCAATCTGAACCAAAAAATACGCTACATATCTTGACATCGATTGCATTACATATGATGCTGGATGTGATCTCCGTTTTTTGCCAGACACATGAAGGGGTATGGGGGTATGCACCCAGAAGTTGCAAACAGAGGTTACATGTCACAATGGCTGTCCGGTTATCTTTTGATATCTTTTAATGTGAGTTAATGTTCAGGGAGCTAATGGGCAAATTGAGTAATTTACTTGTTATTCTGACTCTTAACTAATTTATGACTAATTTCAAAGTAAAAGACCAAACCACAGACTTAATTAAACAGTAACAAATTCTGCAGAGTCTTTCTGGGATTTTAAACTACCTTGTTGGAAGCCTTCATCAGTATTTGTCTGTGTGTGTGTTTGTGTGTGTGTGTGTTTGTGTCTGTCTATCTCTAGACTGTAAGAAACCAAAAATGATGCCATGGATACCACGAAGAGAGAGAAAGGCAAGATGATGTTGACAGGAATGTATTCATCTTTTTTCTGTAGCGCTTATAACAGTATACACATTTAATACCATGCTTGTAATGGATTGTATGTTCTTCTAAAATATTGCAATTGTACTGATGTGTGTGCACTGATGTTCTTATTTTGGATACGGTTGTATTGATTAGCCATAACATTAAACACCTCCTTGTTTCTACACTCATTGTCCATTTTATCAGGTTCACTTACTATAGAGGTGCACTTTGTGGTTCTACAATTACAGACTGTAGTCCATCTGTTTCTCTGCATGCTTTGTTAGCCTGTTCTTCAATGATCAGGACCCCCACAGGACCATCACAGAGCAGGTATTATTTGTGTGGTGGATCTCAGCACCGCAGTGACACTGACTTGGTGGTGGTGTGTTACTTTGTGCTGTGCTGGTACGAGTGGATCAGACACAGCAGTGCTGCTGGATTCAGGAAGGGAGCTGCAGAAAATAAGTGTAATAACTGGCAAACTGAAGCAGACAAATATTACAATACTGATTTTATTTCTTTTGGAAGCAGAAGATTATCATAGACAAAGAAACAAACAAACAAAACAAATAGATCCTCCCACCTAGAAAAAAAACAAACAAAACAACTTACAACATACAAACTTCTAAAAGTCATACAACCCAAAACAGTTTCCGGTATTAAACTGGTGCTGTGATTAAGATGCAGAAGACATTTCATGCATTGGACTGTTAATTTCTAATTAAAGTGAATACCAGCCCCCCCAACATTGAAGTGTCCCACCAGATTGCCAAGTCACTTATATACTCTTGAAATGGAACATAAATAGAGATTTATAAATAAGTTATAAACATTTAGTTTGTGATGCATAACTGTGAAATAAAGTTAGTGTTACTTAAATGCTCATGTATTGTTTAAAATCTTATTATACTCCAGCACTGATTATGATTTTATATTGTATATAGTAAAAATGTACTATAAAACGCTGTAAAAACAATTCTCATTTTATGGTGTCTGTAAGTGTTGATTCATTTATCTATTAATAAATGTATTTATTTATGTATTCATTTATTTAGTGCTTCTAATTGCATTGATTCATTTCGTTTTAAAGCATAACAACAAAACCATGGTTAAGACATAAGGTAGTGACAGACACATTCATAGATGAGGACGTAATACTTGATATGCTATAAACAAGTCTTCAGGATGGTGAACCACGAGAGGAAAATACCAAATGCCGAGCTACACAAACTGCACAGCTACAGATGACAGTGAGTCAGTGAAGGTCTAATACACCATAAGATGTAATCACTACTACATACCACTAGGTGGCGGTACAAGCCAACAGTAGATGGCAAAGCAAATATGACCTCACCACTGCTGATGGGCTGTTGATATTTTGTTGTCGTAACACTTTCCGAGGTGAAATGACACAGGATGTTATGACAGCTGATTGTGTCAGTTTCGTAGCTCGTCTCCTGTGTCTAATAGCGTCCCTTTCATATTCAGTTCTTAAAATACTGACATTTTAATCCTGACAAAATTTCTAACCGAATTGTTCCTGAAGATGACACAAAATGGCCTGAAACTGTCGTACATCACGGTAGTTGTTCAGTGAGAATTGAATATTATGTACATGTAAACAATTTCTAATATTACAACCACCAAGAGAGAAAGGTGGTGGTGCTGTTATTTAATTGTTCTTTGTCTAAGCCACTGATCTTCACGGGGGCTGCTGGAGCCTACACACACACACACACACACACACACACACACACACACACACACACATACACACACATATACATATATATATATATATATATATATATATATATATATATATATATATATATATATATATATATATATATATACACATAATCATTCACTGGGGCAATTTAGTATCTAACTGACTGCATGTTTTTGGACTGTGGGAGGAAACCCATGCAGACACAGGCAGAACATACAAACTCCACACAGAAATGACTCCGGTTGCCTGGCTGGGGAATCAAACCCAGGCCCTTCTTGCTGTGAGACACTGTACTGTCCTCCTATTATGTAATTTAATTAGAAAAAGAAAAATATACAGCAAATTCAAATTCATTTTACACAACAGACCGAAAATATACAGAACTGTCATTACAGTGTCATGCCATAACAATCTTACAAGCATAAATATGATACTCACGTTACTCTAGGCCCAGAGAACAGATCTGCAGCTCTGTTGTAACAGAGTATCAGTATCAAAACCTTCACAAAGTAAGTACAATACGGTAGATTTCAGTGTTACCACAAAGGGTCAAAACATGTCAAAGTGTTCACCTTTTGTTTGATTTTGTAACCAGCCTCACTTGTCAAGTTGTATAACATAATCTTCACCATGTGTTTGAGACACCAAAATACGTTGAGCTACAGAGTCAGCTGCCGCGATGTGCTGTCATTTCACTCCAGAAAGTGTTACAACAACCTCATGACAACAAAAACCTGTGTCACTTCATACAGGTGTTATGTCAACTTGACACTGAAGTTGAAACTGCTGCTTTTTGGAAAAAGCCTTTATAAATGTTCATGTAGGTTTCAGTTAGCTGTCCTGAAAGGCTTATGTAATTGTAATGTAGTCTTATTATTTGACATACAGTAAAGAGGTAACAGTTTATTTGAAGGTTACCTACATAGGGACTACATAACACATGCATAAGCACTGAATAACATATTTATAAAGCAGTATTTGAGTATTTATGACCAGCTCATGATAGTAACCATAAGATGGCACAAGATGCTTTATGAAGTGAATGACACTACATCAAAATAAGGGACCTTAAACTAAAGTGAAGGACATTTCTTCCATTTATAACACTGCTATAAAGCCTCAATCACAAGTAAAGGAACTGAGACCAAAGGTCCAGTTTAGAAGTTCAAATCAGTTCTACATGAGTTAAAGTACAAAATCCTTATGCTATTAAAATGTCATTTGCTTCAGTTTATGATATCTTGACGATTATTGCGTTATAATGTTGTTATTATAAGCTGTTATAAATACATTTGCACAATATAACACACAACTATTGCCTTATAAATAGGATATTCAATGCTCATGCATGTGTTTTAAGGTCCTTATGTAGGTAGGCTTTACATAAAGTGTTACCCAGTAAAGTGTTACCAAACAGTTGAAGCCAGTGCTTCATATTTGTCTGCTAAAACTGTGTAACAACATCCAGTTCCTGCTTGAAAATGCTGTGTTGCAGCTGTGCTGGTGTTAAATACAAACCACTGTGTTTTCCTCCTTCTTTATTCTAAATTTGACTCCTCTACGCCAGACAGGAAATGACATCAGCACTGTACTAAATGTCACACATTCCAAATTCTGCTCATGTAGTGTTTCTACTTTAAATGTTGGTCAGAATCTCATTGTGTCCAGTTCACTGTGAATCAGCTCCATATTTACATCTGCTAAAGCTAAAGCTAAGCTCCATTTATCACTACAGCTAATGAGTGTGTTTGTGCAGTCAGAGCAGCACCGCTGTGAAAGATTTTACTATCATCAGAGTTAATGTGAGCTTCTAGACATCCACCTTCATCTTCCTCAGTCACTGATGCTGGTAAACAGAATGGAGAAGTTTCAAATGAACAACATAATCAGTCAAGCGAAGACCCTGTGCTCAGTGTGTGGTAATATTTGACTGTTATGACTGAGCAGTCTTAGGCAATCATGCTTATAAGATGCTCTGAGCGTTCAGAGAAAAAGAGAAGTTACAGTGTGAAAAAATGGAGCTGCTGGCCGGTTGAAGCCGCCCACACTGTCTACAAAAAAACAAGAAGAGACAGGCAAAAGTGATCGATAACAGGGGAAACTTTGCCTCCAGTCATGTTTTGTATTGACATTTCTCAGTAGAAAACTATCAAACTGCAGAGACTGTAAATATTTCAAAATTAAATAAGGAAGCACATTAAAAAGGAAACTGGAAAATGTAGATTTTTTTTGTGGACGTCTCATGCTGGGCAGGAGGAAGGCCTGCTTGACCTAAAAGAGGAAGAAAGAATGCTAGTGTAAGTAAGAAAGATGAATTTTTAACCACATACAGTCTGACAATTAAAACTGATGAAGCCCCGTCTGGGCTCTGGGTTTGTTCTCTGGGCTCAGTCGCTTAATGAAGGTAGGAATATATTCTTAGTGCTTTTGGAAGTATTGAAGACTTGTTAACTGATGATCTTGTCTTTAAGTCACCAACTATAGTTTGACTATTGTTCTCTAGTGGTGATTTCTGCTATAAAAGGTTTGTGATACTCAGGTATACTTTAAAAAATCACTGTTGCATGAACTTAATTCAGTTGTGCCACACAATTTAACAGTGTCAGTTTACACAGAGTTTGTTACCTCAAATTTAAATGTTAATTGAACAAAATTGAGACATTGCAGTGTAGCTTATTTGGGTGTTTTCATTCATTAAAATGTACTTTCAAAATTTTTTTGTCCATTTTACATAAACCACACACAGTTTGGTTATGTAATATTGACATTTTTTGTGTTATTTATTTATTTATTTTGGTACTTATATAACAAGCAAAACCATGCAAATATGAGGCCTAGTAAAACTACTCATTATATAACAAGCCTCTAAATGATAGAGAAGAATCTGCATGCATGCTTTCAGGGCTCCGTGTCTTCACAATAAAAGTAGTTTGGCAGATTTATAGATGTCAGCTAAGCTTTATGACTTTGTAAGCAAGCAGTATTTTCACATACATGTTCTTACTGCACAGGTTAAATTGCTGATCTCACTCAGAATGTCTCTGACTGTGTCTCTGGTGTTTCTGCTCTTCATCTCTGGTGAGTCAGAGCTTTCCACAAATGTTCTTATCATTTTTAAAGTTTCATTTTAATGATTTATTTTATAGGTGAGATCTGGAGGGTAAAAACGCTGTTTTCACTGTACCTTGCAAATTTTGACTAGATTGACTGGGTTGTAATTGAATATAAACCCATAAAGTTATATTTATGAAAGAATTTAGTCAAATGTGCAAGTTGTATGTTGGGTCCCACTTTATTTGGATGGTTCTCTATAGATGATCTACAGATATATAATCATTAAAAACCTTCTGATGATGATTGATTATCAACAACATTATGGTTAGGGTTAGGTTTAGGAGTAGGTGTAGGCTTTGCCTTGAGGTTAGGATTAGGGTTAGGGACAGATTTAATAGAATCTTTCACACTCAACTTCAACTTAATAGATATTTAATTGAATATTACTAAAAGATATACTGAGCATCTACAATGGACCATCCAAATAAAGTGTTACTGTATGCTGTGTTGAACTTCTAGCCACCCTGGGCTACACTGCTAGGTTTTCAACATGTGTGTTTGAAACTAGTATACATTGTACACAAACTGCAAACTGAGGCAATATCAGTTAAACATTTGACCTCTATTTTTATGAGTGCTAACGAAATTATTTTTTGGACATAAAATTTGACTTTTTCATGTAAGTCAGTGTTTCACAAAAAAGACTTCCAACTGCTCCTGTCTTTTTGGGATGGTGTTGAAGTATAATAGTGATAACACCCTGTAGCTGGTTAGTGAAACTGAAAAACTTGACCTCCAGTCTCTCTTATATGATATTCTGTGAGTTGTGCTATGCGAGTGAAGTGTAACAGTTTTCTGCACTGTGGTAATACCTGTTTTTGTGTAGCACCCCTACCCCCTTCCTACTGTAAGACCTGTGGAGCTTCTCACTTTGTGCTTTCAGCTCCAAATGAGCTCAGATGGGCAGATTTAGAAAAAAAGCAGATTTTATGACATTTTATTTTAATTTCTGTATTTTGTGTTGCAGGAGTTGCTGCTCAGGATGGGTGGGCTGTGAATTACAACTCTAAATCTATCTGTGCTCTAAAGGGCTCTACAGTGACCATGAGCTGCACTTACACATATCCAAGAGGTTACTGGGTCCGAAAAGCTTTCTGGACCAAAGAGTGGACTAAAGGTTTAGAGCCTCCTGATCTGTTATATCAGCCAGAGTACAGAGGCAGAGTTCTGTACCTCGGAGATAAACACAGTGACAGCACTCTCAGATTTAAGACTGTGAGAGAAAAGGATCAAAGTAAATACTACTTCAGATTTATAACAGACCGACCTGGAGGAAAGTATCAAGGTGCAGGTGGAGTTGATCTTTCAGTCACAGGTAAGATCCATCAGCAGAAATAAGACACTGTACTTCATTCACTGGTGTTCAGGATTCACAAAGCAGTTCTGTAATATAATTGCATTAATTGTGCATGCCACAGAAAATCATTCACAAAGCATTTCAGACTAACTTTCAATACCAAACAATATTTTATTTGAAATTTTGGATGCATTATAGAATAAAATCCTAGTTCTAAATGGTCTGATAAAAGTGGTTCGGCAGATTTTTTAAGATGATCGAATACAAGTTATTTCATGGATCATTCTACCAAATAGGTTCAAACCTTTGTGTTTTGCTAGTGACATAAAAATGTGAGACAAAAAAATGTAAATGTTTTTATTTATTTATTCTATTTATTTATTGAATAATTATTCTCTGCATCTTTACACTTGAAAATAAATCAAAATATATTTCTACAAACAATATTGAAAAAGAATGCAAAAAAAAAAAAAGTGTTAGAAGTGTAAATTTAGGCTTTTGGGTTTGGCACCCCTCAATAGAAAGTAAGCTGTAAGTGATTATTTTGTATATATTATATAGTAGCTTATTACTATCTCTATTAATGCTTCAGATTTGAATGTGTTTGTGTTTGGATGTGTTTGTTTATCTTAAAGGGCAGTTCTACCCATTGGTGTAGTCTGAAGTAGCCTTAAGTTTTAGCTTTACTTTTGTGCAGGAAGTCACACCATCACTGATATATTCAGCTAGTTTGAGTCTCCACAGTATGAGTTTGTTTTCTCTGGTTCTCAGATCTCCAGGTGGAGGTTCCTGAGAGAGTGATAGAGGGAGATAAAGTCACTCTCACATGTAAAACCACCTGCAGTCTGACAGTCAGACCAACATTCACCTGGTACAAAAATTGGCATCCTTTATCCTCCAGTACTGACCAGCTCAACCTGCAGTCGGTCAGCAGGGAGGATGCAGGCAGGTATTACTGTGCTGTACTGGGTCAGAGCCTTCGCTCTCCTGAGGTCACTCTTAATGTCAGATGTAAGTACAGATTCATTCATTCTGTCTCAGAAAACAAAGAAAGCTGAGGGTTCATGCTGAACTGTTTGTATTAAAACCCAAAGCTGAGGCATCATCAGTAATATCTATTTATAAAGTAATAAATCAGTGGTTAATAATTACTGTGGTTAATAATTCCAGCCCTGGAGATCCATTTACTGCACATTTTTGTGTTTTCCACAACTAAGCTCATGTTTGGTAATGGGACAGTAATGTGTCTGTAAGATGTTGTAGCATATTTGGTAAATGTGCTCATGTCTATTCCAGCAGCATGTGTTTTATGGGGTTTGTTCTTATGGGGACTTATTGTGAAGGTGGGCTAGCTGCCGAGCTGTGTATATGCATTAAGGGTAAGAAATGGGAGAGTTGGGAGCTCAGAAGGGCAAAGTGCAGACCAAGCCTGAGATTCTCTTCTCATCTCAGGCCTCAGCCTGAGCTAATGCTAGAGCTAGAATTAGCCTAAAGCCCATTTATGCATGGCAAAGCTGTGGCCAACTACAGCTGTTAATAAAGCACAATACAGTGTGTATAAGCTGTGTCTCATCTTTCCTAGTGGTAAACGCTGCAATATGTTTAAATTAAATGGCAATCAAAGGAATATTCCTTGCACTTACTTATCAGTCTATTTAGAAGATTAGCTTACATTTCTTGCAAGAGTGCTGAATCCACCTTCATAGACAGCAGCTTGCAAAGGAGACCATCATTTTCAGTGCACAGGAAGAAATATCTGGGTCCTCTGTTTTTGTAGTGTACAAAACTCTTGCAAAGTTACTTGCATATATGTTCTTTATAGCATTTAATCACGCTAACTCAACTGTTTCATTTGACGGCAGATCTGTTGATTCAGTCTCACTGAAAACCCAGTCATATTTCAACAATCAAAATCTGGAAAGTATGTCTGAAAGTGCTCATTCAGGCTTTGGAGGTGCTGTTGTCTGGTGCAGATTTACATAGCTGAAGAAACATGATGCAGTCTGCATTCCATTATTCCTTGCAAAAGGCAGTCTTTCATTTGAATCCACTGATTTGATCACTTGTTCACAGTATATTTTTGTTGTGTTCCTGCATGTTTGTGTTCAGTTCATTAAATTTTCCAAAGATGTCTGTGCTTTATGCAAGATGGCTCTATTTATTTATTTATTTACTATTACTTATTTATTGTATTATTTATTTATTTTTTAACATTGTTAAACTTGTTTCGAACATCCTTCCTGTAGACAAACAACGATCCCATTTGTAACATGTGGGGTTGTAACCACTAGTTTGCAAAATGTTCGAGTTCTATGAGCAGTAAATTAACACCCAAGTTCAAAGTAAAGGAACATAACTCCAATGAATAAAATACACAACAACAAAAAAAAACACTCTAGCAGTGTCACAAGAGATAAGCCCAAGACTGAACCAAGCCCTGCTTATATAGGGGAAAACATAAGTGATGGTTAATGAATTGCAGGTGATACAGATTAAAACTATACAGGATGTAGTGGAGAATGTCTACCAATATTTGAACTAACTTTAATTAGTTAAAGCTCTGCTGTAAGACAGTGATTCCCAACTCTTGTCCTGGCAAACCCACTGCAGCGAATGGTCTTTCGTACTGGGACAAATAAATCTTTAATTCGTTTTTTGTTTGTAGGCTTATTCAGTCATTTATTTTTATGTATGTTAATGGTGATTCACCACCTTTACACACCATTGTGACATGCTTAGTAAGTCATTAAATGCACTCAAAGATAAAGTATTTTCTTTCTTTAAAAATCTAAATACCAGATGCACATGTAATGGAGTAAATATTTATTTATTTGTCATCATATAACCAAGAAAAAGTCCTAATTTTTTCCATCATCTGGTGAAATTAATTTAAAAAACTGCAACAATAATAATCCTCAGTTGTCTCTATAATAGCTAACTGCAGTAAACTATAAAGAAGTTCATCAGGATTTTATCATCAGCACCCCCATGAAGTGTAATGTGTCTTTCTACCTCTAGATGGCCCAAAGAGTGTCTCAGCATCCATCAGTCCCTCTGGTGAAATAGTGGAGGGCAGTTCAGTGACTCTGACCTGCAGCAGTGATGCAAACCCACCTGTGGAATATAACTGGTTTAAAGGAACATCATTAGTAGCAGAAGGAGAGACTTACACAATGAACAAGATCAGCTCTGTGGACAGTGGAGAATACAAGTGCAGGTGCAGCAATGGATACATAGTCAAATACACTGCTGTAACTCTGAATGTTCTGTGTAAGTGCGGGTTTACTTGTTCCAGTGGATTGCATGTTTTTAATCTCTTTTGTAAAGATCTAATATCTTGTGATGACTAGATCACTCACTGCTTTTGTCCTGTTATTTAGATCCTCCAAAGAACGTCTCAGTGTCCATCAGTCCCTCTGGTGAAATAGTGGAGGGCAGTTCAGTGACTCTGACCTGCAGTAGTGATGCAAACCCACCTGTGCAGAGCTACACCTGGTTTAAGAAACTGAGCAGTGGAACTCTGCAGAAATCAAAAAGTCAGATCTACAACATCTCAAACATCAGCTCTGCAGAGAGTGGGGAATATCAGTGCATGGCAGCCAACACGCAAGGTTCTCGATACGCAGAGTACAAGTCATTAACAGTTTTATGTAAGCTTTTATTCTGCTTGTTGGAAATATTTAAGCTGATATAATTAGAAACATCATCTACAGTTATAAACATGCCTTACTGCCATTCTGTTTTTCCTAGATGCTCCAAAAAAAGCCCAGGCATCCATCAGTGAAACAGCAGAGGGCAGTTCAGTGACTCTGACCTGCAGCAGTAATGCAAACCCACCTGTCCAGAACTACACCTGGTTTAAAGAAGGTGGAAGCTCACCTGTAGGATCTAGACACAGTTACACGGCTCTACAGAGTGGATCCTACTACTGTGTGGCTCAGAATGAACACGGATCTCAGAAATCAGCTGCAGTGACTGTCACTGTAAAACGTATGAATTGTAAAATAGCTGTTTAATCTGGGAAACATTTTGTTAAATTCCTAAAAGAAATTAGCATAACTTGAACCAGACTTTCCTGTTTCTCTCCACACAGGGGTTTGGAATGCAGTTCTATATGCCGTTCTAGGCATGGTAGCTGTTGGATGTTTATTTGCCATCATTGCTGTTTTGTGTGTAAGGTAAGAATATACTTAATAATTCTGTTTTTCTTCTTCTACTAATTATTAATATTGTTATCATTCTATTTCAGAAGGAAAAGAAAGCATGATTCAGCCAATTATGCAGAACAAAAACAGGCAAGTCCCCTAAAACAAAAGTTTTATACAGTTACACAAGTATTTGATAATAAAATACAAAAGAAAACACTATTTTGAACTCTATTCATTTTGATTATTTCCTGTTCATGGTATACACATGCTCACATTTGCTAACAAACCAATCACAGGTGTCTGAAATGTTTTACAGTATTTGTTCCAACATTTCAGTTTTACATTTAAATAAATAATAATAATAACGGTTGACATTTCTGGTCTATGGTGACCATTACTTCTCAAAAAAAAAAAACAAGAGTACATTGCACAGATGTTGTGTTTTGCATGCATTCATGGAAAAAAATCTCTGCAAGTTACACATTATGAAACCTTTAAGTCAGACAAAATAAGGCTGGGAACTGTACTTCCACTCTGCAGTTGTGTTCCCTCTTAGAGAATGATTTCAGTTTCATCAAAGTTACAGGGTTGAACCTTTTCATTGTTTGGATCCTTCATGAGGTGAAGAAGCTTGCATGTATTAGGAAAGCAGAAAATTTTACTGCCTGGAGCTTTAACACCATTCAGGGTCTCCTGGGACAGACAGGTCTTAGCAGAGGTGCCAGACTAAACATACGCTATATAGATAAATGTATTGGAACCCACTTCTTAAATCATTATACCCAGGTGTTTCATTCAGTCCCATTGCCACAGGTGTGTAAAATCAAGCACCTAGCCATGAAGTCTGCCTTTACAAACATTTCTGAAAGAATGGGTCATTTTAAAGAGCTCACTGAATTCGACCGCGGTGCTGTAATAGGATGCCACTGTTAAAAAAGTTAGTTCGCAAAATGTCTTCCCTCCTAGATATTCCAGATCTGTGAGTGATATTATTGAACTGTGAGTGATATTATTGAAAAATAGAAGCATTTAGGAATCACTGCAACTCTGCCATGAAGTGTCAGACCATGTGAAATTAAAGAGCGGGTCGTCGAGTGCTGAGGGGCATAGTGCATAAAAATGCCTAGTGGCAGATGAAGTGGTGTAAAGCACACTGCCACTGAACTCTGGAGCAGTGGAAACGTATCCTGTGGAGAGAAGAATCACGCTTCCCTATCTGTCAGTCTGATGGACGAGTCTGGTTTTGGCGAATGCCAGGAGAACGTTACCCGTCTGCCTGCATTGTGCCAACTGTACAGTTTGGTGGAGGAGGGATAATGATACAGGGCTGTTTTTCAGGGGTTGGCCTAGAACCTTAAGTTCCAGTGAAGGGAAGTCATCAGCATACCAAGACATTTTGGACAGTTCTATGCTTCCAACTTAATGGGAACAGTTTGGGGAAGAACCTTTCTGTTCCAGCATGACTGAGCCCCAGTGCACAAAGCAAGGTCCATAAAGGCATGGCTGGGTGAGTTTGGTGCAGAAGAACTTGACTGGCCCTCACAGAGCCCTGACCTCAACCGCATCAAACACCTTTGGGATGAACTAGAATAGAGACTGACGGATGAATGGGCCAAATTTCCCACAGACACATACAAATCTTGTAGAAAACTTCCCAAAAGAGTGGAAGCTGTTGTAGCTGCAAAGGGAGACCAACTCTACATTAATGCCTATGGATTTAGAATGAGATGTCATAAAAGCTTACGGAAGAAGGCAATGATAAACATGTTCTGTAAAAACCACAAGGATAGGCACAAAAGAACAATTGTTGAGATAATTGTGCCATAACATGGGATAGTGAGGTTGGATGGCACTCGTGTGACTGAGGACAAGCCAAGTAGAGTTTATACATGACATGGCTAGATGACAGCCTTCTAGATGTATAGTTGCTTATATTAACAAGCAAGAAAAAAGCTGGAGTATGAATCATGGTAAGCAGGGGGTCATGAAAATGGAAATTGATAATGCTTTAACTTCAAATTGATGAGCAAACTAAAATAGACACTTTGAATCATAGGAGCACACCATTTACTGTTCAAGTCATGAACAACAAGGAAGAAATGCAGCAGCTTCTGATGTCAATAAGGACATTAACAAGACTTTATTTGGACATAGCGCTGTGAATGATTGACGTCAATCTGATTTTGTAGACAACCATTCAACTTTACAGTCATACAGGTTTATGTCCCAACAATGAGTGCAAGCAAGAAGAAATCAAAGTTCTATGGAGCTCAGGCTGAAAGGGGTTGGCCAAACCATATGACATCACCAAATTTTCATAATGTCCATGAGCGGTAATGAATGCTGTCTTCCACTCACCCTACTTTTAGGAGGTGCAGTACCAGGCATTAAATCGATGGCACAATCCCTGTGATTTCTGTGATTGATGAAATTCTGTGATTTAGTTTGGTGATTGCCTGTGCTAGCGTTTAGCACTTAGTTTCAATAACTTTTTGACCTATGACCCCTTGGAGTCTGAATAATAATAAAAGAGTTGACAGCAGATGCAAGGACATGCATTTAATCTTTTTTGACAGTACATAAAAAATAATATGATAAAATATATTATGAAATGATGAGCATAAGTGTAGAAACATGACTATAAATGTTCTGTATTGTAGATTTAGTTCTGTTTGATTCTGTTTAAGTTGGCATTGCCATGTGATTACCAATTAGGAAATTCGTATTAAATATTGTATAAATTATAGAATAGAATTAGAATAGAATTCAGAACCATTAGCCAACTGTGTTTGCACACAGAGGGATTAGACCTCTGCATTTACCTCATCTGTGCAGTGAAACACCCACATATATGCACACTAGTGAACACACACACTTGGGGACAGTAAGCACACTTGCCTGGAGCAGTGAGGAGCCCTAGCCATGGCACCCGGGGAGCAGTTGGGGGTTAGGTGCCTTGCTCAAGGGCACTTCAGTCACACACTGTTGGCCAAGGGGATCAAAGCGGTGACCTTCCGGTCACAAGGCTGGTTCCCTAACCTCTAGCCCACTACTGCCCCCTGGAGGCAGTCTATAATAAATGACTACAATAAATGACTTACAGGAAAAAAAAAAAATCTTTAATGATATTTGTTGCAGAGACATAAAAAGCACCATTTGTGATAATGACCCTATAACACTTACCATTTTATTATCTCAGTAAAACTTTACTCTCTGATATGATTTACTGATTTATCATTTGCAGTGTGTCATTATTTCTCACTGCAGGAAAATATCTACAGCAATGTTGCAATGGGAGCAGCAACAAATGATACAGCACCTGATCCAGATCTGTCCAATCAGGATGATGTTTATTATGCCAGTGCAGTGCCCAGAGCCAGAAACTCAGATTCTGCCTTTGGAACTGATGAGGAGGTTCAATATGCCAGCATCCAGTTTCACTGTGATAAAGTCGTAGAGAAGACTGAAGGGGACCGCACTGAGTATGCTAGAGTTAGATTTACTCATGCTAGTGCTAACAACAGGTGAGAAAAACAACCTTATCAAACTATTTGATTCTGTTAATTTGATCACTCTTACATAGCATAAAAATAAAAAATATTTAAATAATGAATTCAAATGTATTACACTGTGTTTGCTTTCTTGATGCAGGTCTTCTACTTCCATGACTGAGGATCCATCAGAGATCTACAGCACTATGGAATAAACCTGATGTGGACTATGGTTATACTCCATGGACAAAACTTTCATCTGCATAGGTCTTTTAGAAGGAGGGAACAAGCTATCAATTCCATTTATACCACACAGCATTCTGGAATCTACCCATTGCCCCTTTTCTCTGTAATCTCCATTTCTCTGTTTCAAGACCTCAAACAAGACCCATTTCTTTTAGATATCAATCAACATTGCCTGCTATTTTTTTGTTCTGAGTATTCAGAAGAATTTAAAGTAGTCTCTTTGTGCCTAACAACAATACATGTCTGGGGACCACTTGTTAAACTTTTGTTGCTGGATTGTGGCAAAATCTACTGTTAACAGGGGCATGCTCCCTCCCCAAATTCTTCAAGCTCTTACAACATCCACAGCTGCAAAAGAGGCTACGTAGATGCTATTTCTAATGGAATTGTTTTTCCTTTTCAAGAGGTAAAGTTTCTTTTTATATGTGTGTTCCACACATATGACACACATCTAAATGCTTAACGGGGTTTTGGGGGTATTTTTCAGCTATGTCAAATTGGCTATATCAATGGGCTATGGCAGGCTTGTTGTCCGTCATGTTGATGAGTGCATCATTGCCACTTTGAGTGACATTCTTAGGATTCAGTCAAATCAGTTTAGAAATTGCACACTCAGTTGGATCCCACCCACATTTTGTCCAAACATTGTCATGGTATTCTGCAGACATTCCTTTTGTGAGATCACATCTGGCCCTGCAAAACTAGTCTTAAACCGGTGAGCCAAATTTAGCCTTGAACAACCGGACTGTACTACACCCTCTACAGGACGCCAGCCATCACTTGGAGAACATGAAGCCCACTTTTAAAGGTCTACCCAAATTACATTGACAGTTTCCTACTTTGCTACTTGCAGAGAACATTCTTATTTTCCAATAGCCTATTGACTACACTTCATTTTTAACTGAAAGCTAACTGTCTGTATCATGTCTCACACAGCTAACCACCAGTTGGTTGTGATTGACATTAGTTCTACAATTTTCTTTGAATGATGTCACATACAGCCCCTCGGTCCAACTTATTAATTTAACCTAGCTTTTGTCTAAAGTGGTTGGCTCTCACAGACTTGACTGCTCTTCACTGGAACTAAGTCACTTTCATAACGCCTGTAACTGTTGTAATGCCAGGGACAGGAACTCAGGAGACTGGTGTAATTCTTACCCAGGATTGGTACAGTTATTAAGTGCTGTTATTACTGTGTGACCGAGAATCAGAGAAGAAACGATGCAAGACAATTTTTTTTGTCTTATATTCCGGCTAGCTTACATTCCTCATTATATTCTCTACGACAACATGACCAGCCTCAAATCCAGTCAAAACAACACTTTCTCAATATGGTGTGGTGGTTTATGCTAGCGTGTGAAATTATGAAATCCCAACTTCCTCTTTTGTCATGACACGGCACTCTTCCTCTTTTGCTCACTCTCACACTCACTTTCTCTTCCGCCATGTCCACTTTGCATGTGTCCACTCCTCTGTGGTGCTCTTTGTCAAATATGAATTTCACTGCTGATAATATTTTTTAAAGAAACCTGTTTAAATATATCTGCTTATTGCAGTGATTTTGGTCCAACTGGTCCTCAGAGCCACCTAGGCAGTTCACAATTTTAATCCATCCCATCTCATAC